GCTCGGCCCCGCTGCAGCCGCCGCGCACCGGCGAGTCCCGGCGCCCCGGGCCCCTGCGCCTTCAGCCCCGCGCCCTGGGCGACCGCCTGGGCGTAGAGCCGGCGCGTTTCTGGAGCACCGAGCGGATGGGTAGCGCTTCCAGCCTCCCAGCCTCTGCCGCTAAGAAGATTTTTTCGATTTCCTCCTGGCCCTGCAGTGCGTTCTAGCCCCGCGCTAGCGCTCTCTCCGACACCCAGCCTATCGACACGCGCAGACAGGCGCTGCAACTTTTCTTTGCAACCTTCCTCGCCTCACCCCCAGACAGAACCCCAACCCCAATTCGCCTACCCGTTTCTCACCTCTGAAATTGTTAATCCAGCTGTATCTTTCTTCCTCCACCCTCTATCCCTCTGCTAAAGGAAGCTTTCTTTTAGCAAAGGGATCTGAGGATATATCAATGATTTTCTCTTAAATCCTCACTCCGTGTTTTTCCTATATATCAGGCATGCACAGCAATACGCTGGCTAGTAGCCGCTGACACAAGCAGATAAGGATATGGAGGGTGGAGAAGAGGTATTCCCTAGCCAAGAACTCTGAGAGAGACTCCGTGTTGGTATTTCCCTCAAAGATTGCAGCTCACCTGGGAATAAAGACCAAGAGGCTGTTTAATGTGAAAGCTGTGCCGCTTTTAAACTATAGAGAGGAGTAAAAGCTGAGCATTAAGGTTGAGTTGGGGAAAATCTAATGCAGCAATCGACGAACCATTCATTGCCCTTTCCAAGAGAAGCATTATCATTGCCAATACATCACTTCCCCATAATTAATAAAGGAGCATTGCATCAGGCCCTTGCTCTCTTGACAGCTCATTCATCCTTACAAATCCTTAATGACTTGGCAGGGTGAAAGGCTAGACCCTCTGGAGTTCACAAACCTGGCTGCACATCAGACACACCTGGGAAGCTTGTTAAAAATGCAGATTTGAGCGTCCCGTCTTGAGACTCTGATGTTGTTGCTCTCAAGCTGGACTCCAAGTTTGTGTTTTTAAAGCACCAGTTGATATTGACCACTGGTGTGGTTTGCCAAGGTGTGCGGGATCAGGGGCAGCTAAACGGAGAAGGGGAGAGAAGGAGGGAGCTGCCCAACTCTAGGCAGAAAGTTCAATTCCTCAGTAGGATTCTCCCCCAGTACTTACAGTGCAGCTCTGGGGCAGCCAGGCCATAGGAAAAGAGAGATGCTGACTCCGGGACTACCACCGTTCGACTCTGAGGCAAAGAGCGAGGAATGGAAGTAGCCTTCCTCTGCCTCTGTGCATGTGGCTCTCAACCTTGACTGCACCTCAGAATCTCCTGGGAAGATTTTAAAAATCCCAGTGCTTAGGCCACACCCCAGACCCATTAACTTGGAATCTCTGGGGGTGGGACCCAGACATCAGTAATTTTTTTCATGTTCCCTAGTTGATTCCTCTGTGTAATCAAGGTTGAGAACCACTGTTCCAGGTCAACACTCCTCAGACACGAATGTGCATGTGTGTATGGATCACTTGGGGATTGCAGGTTCTTATACAGTAGATGGGGAGCAGGCCTGGGATCTGCATTTTTAGCAAATTGACGAGTGATGTCGATGGTGCCTGAACGAGGACCACACTTGAATGAGCAAGGGTGTGTTGCATCCATCTAGTGATTGTGGACACTCAGCTTGGTGGAGGAAGCTCCAAGCTTCTTCTTGTCTTGTATATTCCCAAGAATCATTCCACTCTAAGAACATTTTCCTTTCCTTGCTGAGTTAAATATTCTTAGAAGACACTCTCCACACAAACTTTTTGTTAGACTGCACTGACTAGTGGGTGTGAATAGAATGGCATGTGGGGAGACACAGAAGGTCACCATCTCTCTGTTGGAGTGTGTCCTCGGCCAAAACTTACTTAAGGTCCTGACTTCAAGGAAGTGTGAGAGGCAGATATTTGGCCCAAACTCAACAGAAGGAGCTTGGAGAGAAGTGTCTGCTTTCTAAACGACACCAAGAAAAGCATATAACTAAAGACTACCCGTAGGAAATAGGACAAAGCTAAGTGAAGGAGGTAAGTAAAAGAGCTAAATGAAAATGTGAGTGGACTACATCTCATTGGAATAGATTTGTAGGAAAGGTGTGGCCTGTTACTGCTGTTAGGGACCACTTAAAGAAACTCAGATTTTCTTGAAAGCGTGAGCATGCTCATGACACAGGGTAACAAAAGCCCGGTTCTTAAACGTCTATATTCCAATGGTGCCCAAAGTCCATCTTGTCAGCAGCTGAGAAGGTGTTAAGGTTACATCTTGGTCCTCTTTATTCCTCGTCTTTTCTAATCTAGACTGATACTTAGGTTAATTTAAATTCTTGGGAGCAAAAAAGCTGCATTAAATGGTCTTCTCTTTACCTAAAACCATTAAAAGGGAGCCTAGTGCCTGTTAATTTGGCATGCTTTTTGTTTTGGCTCAATATCTGAGCCCCTAATATTTTTGCCTTTCATTTCTCATTAAAGGCATCTTTATGAGGGTTCCAGGGCCCCAAGGCAATCAAACCTTTTGCTCCCTCCTAAATGTTATACACGACTGGATTTTCATTGCAAGAATTATCAAAGGCTACATGACTGCCACAAGGCTCTAGGTAAGGAAAGAGCGAGGCTGCTGCAGGCTGTGGCTTTCGAAAGAAGAAATATTGTATGTAGGAAGGTGGTGATTTACATTCCAATGGCAATGGTCTTTCTTAATTGTATTCTTGAACACTGATTGCCATTCTTTCCTTTGGACTTGAGATTCAGAGTTGTGGGTCTCCACTGTTATCTATCCAAAGCAGTATGCCTTGACCACTCTGGGCACTCCACAGGGAGATCACTAAGATTTGATGTATGTATTCTAAATATGGTTCAGATTCTTATGAACTATTTCCCTGCAAACCTTCAGGGGATCTTTTAGCAAACTCATTTTCAGACCAAGTGATGATGTCGTGAATTAGGCCCTAGTTTTTATCCCATCTATGGAAAAATTAGACACGTGATCAAGGGTACTTCCAATTTTTTAAATTTTTAAGATTTTACTAAAACATCTGATAATTTTCATCAAAGGGAAAATAAGTACTTTGTTGTAATTCCTTTTGTTTTTTTTAAATTGAATTACTTAGGTCAGAAGTGCCACCACTGTTCTTTTCAGTGCTTGATGTCTCTTAAGAGTGTTAAATACAGAACTAGTCATTCTCTACCACATTTCCTAGTCTGCCAGTCTTCACCACTCAACTATCTGCTCATTCTTGGGCTAAGTCTAATACTGATTCCTACATAAGAAAAAAATGTTATAGCACCCCCAGCCAGGCCAGCAAGGGGAACTTAGCATTAGCCATTTTCCCACACCTAGGAACCTCAGGTGGACCACGGGGCCAAGTTTTCTTTGCTGCTGATTGGATTCAAGGTTTTTTGCTTCAGGGATGACGGTGGGGATTCTTTGTTGACTTCCAAGTGCTATTGTTCCTCCTCCTTGGGATCTTGTTCCTGTAACTAAGATTTACTTCTCTATTTTGTTTTGACAGTTGAGTACCACCCTTGAACCCCGTCCACTAAGTGGGCTCAGCTGCTGGATGGGAGCAGCCTTCCTGGTAGACTCACAGTTATAACCCATCATCCCCTGTGCTTCTTCACTGTGGGGTCACCCCCATCCTCTGAATTTGTCACAATCTTTGGACATCAGGGGCCTGCACTTCTGCATTTCAGCAACTTACAGTCAAGGGTTGGGCTTGTACAAAACCCTGACACTTTCATTTTCCATTTCTGCCCCTTATTACATTAAAGACATTATCTAGTCTATATCCCACAACCTTGCTAATGGTAAGGTTACCAATGAGTAACTCAATGGCAGAATTGTTATTTAGAGCAACTAGTGGGTCAGAAAAGAAAAGAGACTGGTCAGAGTTAAGGCTTTGAAGTCAGAATATCTGGGTTTGAGTCTCACCTCTGGCTGTGTGACCTTGGGGAAGTTTCTTAAACTCTCTGAGTTACAGTATCTTTGTCTGGAAAACCATATCATAGAATCTCCTTCAAGGAGTTATAGGAAGAATAAAATATATATAATATGCTTAGCATAGTTCCTAATCATAGTAATTATTCAACAAATGATGTTGTTATTATTACTATTATTGGTAAAGTTCCATAAAAATGATATCCATAAGTAAAAAGAAAGTTTCTATCTAATTAGGCTATATATAATTAGACCATCTCATTATCGATAATTATGCTCTCATTTTTGGTATGCAGAATTCTATACAATGAATAATCCATGAAAATGGATGCCTCTAGAGTACTAGAGTACTTTCTTTCTCTGTAATAGAAGAAGCTGCTTGTGCATTTTCTGATTTTGTAAGTATAGAGTGTGGTTACCTGATTGATAAAGGGGACATCACTTTTTTGCTGGATCACAATATTTCTTTTCCTTTATATCTGGGTATCAACTTGATTCCATCTCGATTATAATCTAGGGTATAATTTCCAATAGAGCCATTTTAAATAAATTTCACTACAACAAAGATTTTGCTTGTCACCTTACTTTTATTAAGAGAGGACCTTATCTGTAGGACACAAACTTCTTCGCTAAGTTTGCACAAACTTTCCTCAACATTGATTCAAGGATTCTCCATCAATAGGGACTCAAGATGAAGCCCCAGGGGTGCTCTGCACCAGGCAGTTGTTCCTTGCAATCTCGTTCTGAAGCAATGTCCCTGAGAGATTGCACTTCAGCTTTTTCATCAATCTCTTGTCTAAGACATTGTCTATAATGTATAGCTCCCTCACTGCTTCTTCAATTGCTG